GCCGAGTCCGGCAGAGACAGGGGTAGTGATTCACCGAGTTTTTGCAGGCATCTCTTGGGGAGTGTTTAGAAAAAAATGTTGAAATTTTTCAAAATTTTCGAAAATTCAAAAAATGCTGGAAATTGTCTGAAAAGCGCACAAAACCAAATTTTTTTGAAGAGTTAGAAAAAAAACTGAATGTGAAATTTTTCAAATTTCTTTGTTTTTGTGCGCTTTTTGGACAATTTGCAGCATTTTTTGAAAATTTTGAAATTTTTCAAAAATTTCCACCACCTAATGCCTTACAGGACCGGTCTCTGTCGACAGTTTCTGATGTACAGAGTGTCTGACGAATGCGGTGTGTGCCGGACTCGGTCTCTGTATGAAGGGCTCCAACGTGCCTCCTCTAAAAGGTCTGGTACGTCAGACAACACGTAAGGCAGAGACCGAGTCCTGCAGAGGCCGGTTGGTGCAGACACCGAGGCAGGCAGCAACCGGGCGAGATAGAGGCCGAGTCCGGCAGAGACAGGGGTAGTCATTCACCGAGTTTGGCAGGCATCTCTTGGGGAGTGTTTAGAAAAAAATGTTCAAATTTTTCAAAATTTTCGAAAATTCAAAAAATGCTGGAAATTGTCTGAAAAGCGCACAAAACCAAACATTTTTAAAAATTTATGAATGTGAAATTTTTCAAATTGTTGCTTTTGTGCGCTTTTTGGACAATTTGCAGCACTTTTTGATTTTTTGAAATGTATGAAATTATTCAAAATTTCCGTCACCTGATGCCTTGCTGGACCGGTCACTGTCGGACTGTTTCTGTTGTACTGTCTCTCTGACGAATGCGGCCTGTGCCTGATATGGTCTGTGACGTGCCATCTCTGAAAATCGTGGGTGCAGCAGACATCACGTAAGGCAATTACTGAGACCAGCAGTGAGCGGGTGAGTCAGAGACCGAGACCGAGTCCTGCAGAGGCCGTTTGATGCAGACACTGAGGTAGTCTGCAACCAGGTTAAATAGAGGCAGAGTCTAGCAGACACACGGTGAGGCACTCA